TACGGGAGTGATGCTGCTCCCACGGCGTGGCCCAGCTGCTGTGGTTTCACTGGGAATCTTGTGATGTTTTTCCCCAAGCCTCACGCTCTGAACTGAGCAGTTCTTTGGCAATGTCCATCGTTATTTGAGGAACGAAGAGACATTCTTATGTTAATGGTTGCTGAGGGAAAGGCTGGAGAATGTGAGCTGAGGCTTGGAGAGTAAGAGGAATGCAAAATTTACTTGGATTTCTTCAGTATGGATCTTTAGAGGGTCTCGCCTTCTGAACAGCGAGGTTGGCACAAGGACCTGGGCCCCTGCCAGCATCTCCAGGAGGAAGGTGCTGTTGGTCATTGCTGAGGGAGCTTTGTAAGAGCCTGGGGAGCTGGGGCAGGCAGGGCTGGCGCGGCTTCTGCACACGGCTTCAAGTGCTGCCAGGTTTCCTCACAGCGTTGCCATGGAGGAAAAACTTCTGGATTTTGTACAGTTCTTGGATGCTGCGGTGATAGGTGCTGTGTAAGAACAGAGAGGCCAGAGGGATGGGTAAACAATGGGAAGCTCCAGCAGACAGCCTGCTCCCCCATAGGAAGAAAGGGATAAATTCAGGAAGTGTCTGACAAATGGATGGGACAGGAAAGGCAGCTCAAGGCTGTGTCTGTGCTTCAGTTTCGTGTCTTCTTTTTATGATAAGGTGTTGAGGACCTTTGTTTAAGCAGAGAGAGGCACTGGGATGTGCGGGTCACGATTAATCACCACCACAAAGGGCTCAAACCCTTCATTTGAACCAGTGGATTAGTTTAGCAGTTTCCAGATGAACGCTCAGTACAGACGAGAGGAGACCCCGACATCTCTCGAGAGCAGCAGGACCCACAGCCCAGGGCTGCTCAGAGTGGTGGTGCTGCGGCAGGGGCCGGGGTGGCAGCGAGGGGCAGGTGGGGCTGTGACAGGTTGGCTGCGAGGGGAGGTTTTTGTCTACTAAAAATAGGGTGTAAATGACCAGGGACGTTTCTAGCACAGGAGCACATTTGGTGCTGAGAACTGGGCAGTTCAGGGCACTGAGTTTGAAACGTGAAGCTTTCCACAGAATGTACAAGTAGACACACGTTGTGCTCAGCTCCGGTTTGGTCTCTGAGCCTTTTGGACATGTTGTTTTCAAGGTTTCTTTGTGGGCTGAAGGGCAAGAAACTCATCTTTGGGTCAGTGCTGAGGTTTTTATGAGTTGCTGGGGCTCTGGAAAGATCCCGTCGTGTCAGGAGGCCGAGGGCACCTTATGCTCATGTGCTCTGTGCTCCCAGAGACAGGAACACCCATCAGGACGGGGTTCTTACAGTTTTCCTGTGCTTGGCCCTGTCCCAAGCACAGGGTCTGTTGTTTGGGAGCCTTTCCCTGCCCAGCAGCTGCCAGGAGCCAACAGGCTCCTTCCATTGAGTGCTGCCTGGGCGGCATTTCCAGGACTCACTTTGCCGAGGTCCCGGCACAGATTCTGTGCTGTGTTTGAAAGTCCTTTTGTCATTCTGCCCCACGCAAGCCCCTGGTGCTGCCAAGGGGATGCTGCCCGGGGCCAGAGAACACAAGGGCACAACGGGTGTCTGGATGGGTTATAGGTTATAGATTGTATGTGTAGGTGCTGGACTGAGACCCCTCACTGCAGAGCCCAGGCTGGCTTCGCTCTGAGCAAGGAGAAGAACCAGCCCCATAATTTGGCTGTGTTTGTTTAAGAGCACCCTTCGTGCTCACCCTTCGTGTGGGGCAGCTCCGGGGCTGCAGCCCAAGGCCTCTTTGGGAGGTGGGTGCCAAGGGCTGTGCTGTGGCACCAGCCTTCAGGAAATGGACTGAACGGCTGCGGGATGGGGCAGTGAGTTTTGCTCCCTGTAACGTGTCACGTTGCCAGCGCCGGGATTGTTCCCGCTCCCTCGTGCAGGGTGGA